TGCTTCCATGTTTGTGAGTCAGTTTTACATGGTCGTAATTGACTCTTTGGATATTTATCAACTATGTCTTTAAACAAGCATGGTAAAGTTTTGGCTAGTTGTCTTGTATTTGACATCATAGTCGTAGGAATTTGATAGTTACACGCGAAAAAAATAAAAAAAAATAATAAATAACTGAAAATTCAAGCCAAAACATGTCTCTTATTAAGGGATAATTTATCTATATATTACTATTGTTTATTAGTTCAATTAATAATGATTAAATGCAAAACGAAATAGTAATAAATCTAAATACTAATAAATAGTTTATATCTAAAATGCGTAATTATATAATTAATAATATATTTATTTGCACTTGTTTGAAACACATTTCCTACTCTGGCATGCAGCATCCAATAGGCAAAACGTTCCAGGAGGACGAGTATCAGTAAGTTGACATGTTGGCGTCTCACCACTTGCAACATTACGACGACAAACAAAATATATGCACTCAAAGTCATCGTCGTCGTCACCAAAGCATTCTGCTCCTCGCTTAGTTTGACACGTTCCATCAGCACCATTGCATGTTAGATCAGGATCACCACAATCAGCAGTACTTAGACATCCGCCTATTGATAAATGTGCACGCACAGTTAATAAATATCAAGATATAAATTTACATAAAAATTTAAATGAGAAATTTGCAAAAAAAATCATTTGTGCATGTTATTAGAATAGATTAAGACACATACGTGCCTTGTCTTTTTAAGAGTCCATTTACACCACCGGTAGTCATTGCGCTAACAAAGGCGCTAGAGAGGAGAGTTGCAAAAAGCACAATTAAAATAGCTTGTTTCATTGTCAGTATTTTATATATTTTTATTTAATATTAGTTACTGTTTGGACAGTTTGGATTAAATTAATTTTTGTATAATTAGAAATTGGAAGTTGATGAGAATTTTGTGTGCTTATATAGATATTTTGAATCCTAACAAATTATTAAATTCATTCAATCCATCTTAAGGTTCTTCACAAATCCCGTTTAGCCTGATGCCGAAAAGCAAACCTTCGTTATTATCTGAAAAATCATTAATTTTGTATGTAGAGATATGAGGCATGTGTATAAAATTTTTACGGAGAAATGAACTACATATATTAATATTAATGTTAATATTATTATATGAAATTAGTTACGGGCGACGAAATTATTCATTATTGACGAAATTAATTACGGGTGACGAAATTATTATTATTATAGATGAAAGGAAATTATTCATTGTAAACAATTAATTATGGACAATAATTTTTTATTTTATACCAGTCGCGGATTTTACAGGGGGTCAAGTGTCACTCATATAATAATAATCTTCGTGCATAATTTTATATGTAAAATCGAAGAAAAAAATCACTCTGGTATATACAAACCTACCCGATTTAACCAAGATTGTTCCTTGAATTATAAAAAATCAAAATATATGGAAAACCCTTTATTTTGACATATTTT